TCCACATATGTTGCATAAAACACACACACACACACACACACACACACACACACACACACACACACACCACTATAAATAAATATAAAATTTAAGAAAAAGGAAGAAATGTAAAGGGCAAAATATTTATGGAAATTTTTTATGTGTATGAGTATATTGCCTGCATGTGTGTAAGTGCACCCATGTCATGCAATGGGAATTTTTTTTGAGAATATAAATTTCTACTGGGTGTGGTAGTGCACACCTTTAATCCCAGCACTCCACTCCGAAGGCAGAGACAGGTAGATCTCTGTGAGACTGAGGCCAGCATGGTCTACATAGTGAGTTCCAGGTCAGCTAGGACTACAGCAAGACCCTTTCTCAAAAAGACCAAAATAAAAAAAAAAAATAGAATATAGCTTTCTGCCAGGTATGGTGGTATAATGCCTTTAATCCCAACATTCGAGAGGCAGAAGAAGGCAGATCTCTGAGGCAACCCTGGTCTACACAGTGAGTTCCAGGCCAGCTGGGGCAACAGAGAGACCATGTCTCAAAAAAACAAAAAGAATATAGATTTCTAAAGATTCTTTTCCTACCATATAAACTCTATAAACACAACAACGAGACAATAAATAAGGCCTTACAAGTGTTCTTACTTAAAAATTGGAGTACTCATGTTACTGTTACATCAATAAACAGTTTACTGGGGAAGAAGAAACTGTATTAACATGAATGCAAATATTCAGGGGCTGGAGAGATAGCTCAGCGTTAAGAACACTGACTGAGCCAGGCGTGGTAGCACACGCCTTTAATCCTAGCACTTGGGAGGCAGAGGCAGGGGGATTTCTCAATTCAAAGCCAGCCTGGTCTACACAGTGAGTTCCAGGACAGCTGGGGCTACAGGGAGACCCTGTCTCAAAAAGACCAAAAAAAAAAAAAAAACACTGACTGTTCTTGCAGAAGACCCAGGTTCGAATCCCAGCACCACCAAGGCAGCTAACTGTCCGTACCTCCAGTTCTAGGGGATCCAACAGTCTCTTCTGTCCTCCACAGGCACTGCACGACACGGGTGCACTTACCTACATGCAGGCAATATACACATACACATAAGATAAAAATAATAAATATTTTAAATTTGGTGGTCCTAGTGGCACACACCTTTAATACCAGCACTTGGGAGGCAGTGGCAGGAGGATCTCTATGAGATCTAGGCCAGGCTAGTCTACATATAGCAAGTTCTACGCCAGCCAGGGCTACACACTGAGAGCTTGTCTTAAAAAGAAGGAAAAGAAGGAGGAAGAGGAGGCAGGAAATTTGAATGGTATTTTTTCACATGCATTTTCCAGTGAAATGCTAGTAACTCCAGCACAAATAATCTACAATCTGAAATCGGATGGGCAATTCTCTGGCCCATCTTTTATAGCCACAACAAAATTGAAATTCAAACTCTTCAGAGACACAAACAAAAGGAAACAGTAATAGTTGACTACTTCCTCTTTAGACCCGCAAGCAATGTAGCCATTGTGATAGCACTGTGACACAAGATATCAACACTACAAACCATAGGAAGTTATTCCACCATCTGAGTCTTTGCCACTGGAAGAAGAAACAAGAGGTAGGCCACCATGAAGAAGGGCAGCAAGGTCTTTATATCCTTCGTGCAGCAGAGCGTTGTAGAATGATATGTAGGCATCATTATCTTTTTTAAGTATCATTTTAATTAGAGTAGCTGCTCGCTGATATTGAGTGGCCTAAAAAAAGTTAAATTGTTTAAGTATACAGCAGTGAATATGTTTGCAACACAAATTCTAAAAGTATAAACATTTTTAAGCAACATAGAGCGCCTCAGAGGGCTTTACCTCATTTTTCACTTTTTCCTCCTCTAATACTGTTAAAACTCCATCGCTAATCATGTGATCCATGATGTAGGATGTTTTGATGTCCTTTTCCAGAGCTTCTCTATGTTGAAGCAAACAATTTCGGGATTTTGCATCCATCTTCCCTCAACTTTTTTTCCTCTCTGAGCTGTCAACCAGGAGCTATAGGCAAAGCGTCAAGATATTTGTCAGGACAGGAAATGTGAAAAGATGTGTAACTTCAATGGTAACCAAGAAACTTAAAGAAAACAAGACTGATTTTTTTTTTTTAATTAAGACTTTTTAAAGGACAAAACCCTAAAGTGATAAAATAAGCATTTTTCACACACTTCCTGGAGTTCAAAAATGGATTAACTTTCCTGTAAGGCAGTGTAAAATAAGCATCCTCTTTACCTCAGAAATACTCTTTTTTTTTTTTCGGTCTTTTTGAAACAGGGTTTCCCTGTAGCCCCACCTAGCCTGGAGCTCACTATGCAGACCAGGCTGGCCTTGAACTCACAGAGATCCGCCTGCCTCTGTCTCCCAAGCGCTGGGATTAAAAGTGTGCGCCACCACACCCAGCTATACTGATTTTTTTTTTCTTTTTTTAGAGTTTATATGTAAAATGAAACATTTGGGGCTGGAGAAATGGCTCAGCACTTAAGTGCACTGGCTGCTCTTGCAGAGGATCCAGGTTTGGTTCCCAGCCCCAACATGGCAGCTAACAACCGTCTGTAACTCCAGTTCCAACTTGACACCCTCTTCTGACCTCCACAGGCATTGCCAACATAAGCGCACTTACATATATGCAAGCAATATGCCCATACTTGTAAAGTAAAAATAATAAATATTTCTTAAATAAAATAAAATGGAACATTATATAGCTATTTAAAATTATATGACACATATTTCTATGTACTGACATGGAAAAATGTTCCTGAAACACTATTGATTTAAAAACAGAAATAAGCCTTTAGTCCCAGCACTTGGGAGGCAGAGGCAGGTGGATCTCTGTGTCCTGGAGGCCAGCCTGGTCTACACAGCAAGTTCCAAGCCAGATAGGGCTACAGGGAGACCCTGTCTCAAAAAAGACCAAATAAATAAATAAATAATTTTTTAAAAATAGAAATAAGGGGTTGGAGAGATGGATCAGTGTTTAAGAGCACTGGCTGCTCTTGCAGAAAGATTCAGTTCCCAGACCCACATGGTGGCTAACAACTGTCCATTAACTCCAGTTCCAGGGAATCTGATACCCTCTTCTGGTCCCCACAGGCACTGCACAACATAGGTGCACTTAAATACATGCAGGTAAAACACTCATAGATATAAAAATAAATAAAAAATTTTTAATAGAAATA